ACATCTCAACATGTCTGAATGTTGTTTCACTTCTGATTCCTACAAAACCCTTATTTCCCCTTCATTTGGAGACTCAAGGCATTTTAGCCGAACACTCTACATAAAAGCAGAACATATATTCATTTCATTAATATCGAGCAAAGCGACGATGGTAGATTGTAATTATACACTTATAATTATAATATCAGCTCTGGTTTTCATTTGTGCTACAAATCTAAGAATTTACAACAAGACTAGGACGAACCCTCAACTTATGTTAAAGGCACTATATCACACCAAACTTCTCTAAATATATATAATGCATTTCTCTCAATAATAGTAATTATCAGCCCTCGGGGAAGCTATCATATAATTTATTTAAAAAATAAATTACGTATTTAGATTACAATATTGAATAAAAAGTTCGAATGAATTAATGAAACGTTACATTAAGTATAATTAAAATATTGTCGAAAAAGTGACACTGTGCCTTTAAGATTTTCAATTTGCAGCGATCAGAATTAAAAATCAGAAATAAAATCATGTCAAAATGAATTTCCTTTTTAAAAGTATTTATATACAATAAATCACATAGCCGGAGATAATTTATGGAATGCTGTAAGAACTAACGTGTCAAACACTGGCAGATTAACGGTATTGTATGCAAAAATATACATATATAATTCTGAAAAATCTCTGAATTCTATGAGGTCAAACCAGCAGCTTTGGCCATGTTGTAGAAGATGCTGTCGGGCTGTTGTAGCAGGGAGGAGGGTGTGTCAAACTCACGCACACAGCCGTTGTCAAGGACCAGGATCCTGAAAGATTAATTTCGAAAGTTGCATATTTCTACCACTCAGTTTATTCTTAGTGATGACATGGATGGAGCGCCTGTCCAGAGAGCATACTGTCGGGGATTCGATTCTCTGGTTGTGCAATACCAACAGACATTAATAAACTTTATTGTAATGTACTACGTACTTGGCATTAAGGGGACAAAACAGGGACTGGGCGGCTCTGTGTCTCACGGTATGTTCCAGTGGGGTATTTATGTTTCTCGGAAAATGGGCCCAAAAAATCGGGCACACCCCAAAAATATGATTTATCATGATATTCCCTAGCACTGTGTAAGGTTTTTTGCCATAATCCAGCGGGGGAAAGTCATATAGTGTTAGACCCGTGAAGATCCGGGGTAGAATAGGTCTTCAGCAACCCATGCTTGCCACAAAAGGCGACTATGCTTGTCGTAAAAGGCGACTAACGGGATCGGGTGGTCAGGCTCGCTGACTTGGTTGACATATGTCATCGGTTCCCAATTGCGCAGATCGATGCTCATGCTGTTGATCACTGGATTGTCTGGTCCAGACTCGATTATTTGCAGACCGCCGCCATATAGCTGGAACTAAACTCACTCACTCACTCATATAGTGTTAGAATTGCAAATCCTTGATTTTTGGTGGCCATCTTGGACGCCATCTTGTTTTTTTCGGAAAATGGGCGAAAAAAATTGAACACACATCAAAAATAAGTTTTATCGTGATATTCCCAAGCACTGTGTAAGGTTTTCTGCTATTATCCTGAGAATTGGTAATCCATGACACCCCAAAAATATTTTTATTGTGATATTCCCCAGAAGTTTGCACAGTTTCATGCTTCATACTATTCTCACCACATTCAACAATATCTATGACTTCAGCCTCACCTGTCATAGTCCATGACGGTGTTGAGTCTGTGGGCGATGGTCAGCACGGTGCAGTCCTTGAACTCTGACCTGATGGTCTGCTGGATCTGGTCATCTGTTTCCATGTCAACAGCAGCTGTGGCTTCGTCCAGAACAAGAATCTTGGACTTCTTCAAGAGTGTTCTGGTCATACAGAAAAGTTGACGTTGTCCGACACTGTGAACAACACATTATGATTCAAATAGCATCAAAACTGTAAAACGTAGTGTGACCAGAGGTAAATCAGGACGAATTGGAAAGATTCCAACTGACATTCGTTGTGTACTACTGATTGAATTATTTGTAAACCGTTGAAATCAAAGCTTAAATGCACGAGAAGAAGCATTAGAAGTTTCAAAACAGAAGAGAAGTCAGACGCCCCTCCAATTATTTTCGTCCACTTTCATTGTGTAACCTGCTCGTAGCCTTTGTAAATCGTTAAACAGATTTATTACGAGATGATTGCAACAGTTGCTAACAATCACCTCAATATTGCTAAAAGCGGCGTAAAACCAAACTCACTCACTCACTCACTAACAGTCACCTCAACAGATGCCATAAATGGTTCATGGATGATCACAATTCCCTTTATATTGGCAGTGGTGACATGTGCGGTTGACGAACGTCAAAGTCAATTTCGGTGACAATACTACCTCCATATTCCCATCCTATACACTTCCTTTAGTCCTTGTGGGACCACGTTAATAAAGTCTTCTCATCAGATGAGACCCAATTTGCGGTACGAGAACTATCTTGAACCATCATCTCACAACATTTTCTTGGATACATTTCTGATATCTGTACCAAAACTTTATAAGTTTAACCTGTGCATGTATTCATAATTGAATACAACTATATTCACAATACACAGCATTTGGCGTGTTGCCTTTAACTTCTTCAGATCTTTCATATGCATAGATGTGTACTCTTTCAATAGTCTAACTTCGTCATACCCAATATTTCAGCTTCATACAGTAATATAGGATTAATTGTGTATCCAAGTTCTTAGAAGAGGCATCAAAACCAGTATTTTTGAGATTTGTTAGAATGCCAAAGAGAATCTTCGTTGCCTTGATGGCAGCCTGTTTTGAATGAACATTCCATGGCAGTTGACTGGAGAAATAGATATCCAGGTATTTGTATTTTTAGAAAAAATCTTATATTTGGCCTTTGTACAACGATTTTTTGGCCATTATGATAACACAGCTCCGTTTTTCACCAAAAACAACAACGTCATGTTGATGGTGAGATATAACCTTCGCAAAACTGTTCGGCCGAACCTTGGTTATGAAGCGCGACATTTGCACCAACTGACCAATTTTACGAAATGTTGGATTTTCATAAATAGGATTAAAAATATCACAGAATCATATATGGTAATGGCGAGTCAGGGAGTACTAGCAAAGGTCGTTGGCTAATGACACTACTCTGCACATCCACGTGCACTAATGAAGACTGGGTACGGTTATGATGTAGTCAGAATGTTTACTACCTCCACCCCAAACCTTGACACCTACCTGAAGTTGTTTCCGCCCTCTCCACAGTCACTCTGCAATAGGCCAGGCAAGGACTCCACAAACTGGCGGATGTGGGTGTGGTCCAAAGCCTCCCATATGTCCTGGTCTGTGTACAAGTCCTGGGGGTCAAGATTCATCCTCAACGGACCCGTGAACAACACAGGGTCCTACAAGAAGATAACATAAAAATACCCACTTGTATACCTATAATCAAATCAATAGATAGAGAAATTGCAGAGAAACCACCGAGTGTTGTATATTCATACCATGGTGAAATCAGTTTATGATATATAACTACCTGTGGTATGATAGCCAGTTTCTCTCTGACATCATGAAGTCCTATGTCAGCAATATCTACTCCGTCTATCACAATAGCGCCCTCTGCTGGCTCTACCAAGCGGAAAAGGGAGAGCATCAGGGAGGATTTACCCGCACCTGTCCTGCCGACAACACCAATCTGAACAGAGACACAGATGACAATGATGCAAAAGTATGCAAATGGGAATAAAAAGTGACATCAAGGTAAACGTAAATCCATAGTGCCTCATGATGTCAATCACTGGATTGTCTGGTCGAGAGTATTTTCAGACCGCTTCGAACAGTTGTTATACTGTATAATGACCCGTTAAACAAACACATACCCATTATATGGTCAGAATTATTAATCGAGGTTCCTTACGGGTGTGGAAAGGGTTTTGTCGTTCTATTGTGATATTTCAATATAATGTGTAAGTGTTGTTTTTTTCATCCAGAATTCCGTTGTTTAAGAAGGACAATAAGCAAAGTCTGCATGTGCCCCTCCATCTAAAGCAAATGTGAAAATCCACCTTCCTCTCGTTTTCCTATGCACAGTAAATGTGTTATTCCACCTGCCCTCTCCCCTACGTGTACAGTAAAAGAGACATTCCACCTACCTTCTCCCCTCCCTGTACAGTGAATGAGACATTCCACCTACCTTCTCCCCTCCGTGTACAGTAAATGAGACATTCCACCTACCTTCTGCCCTCCGTGTACAGTAAATGAGACATTCCACCTACCTTCTGCCCTCCGTGTACAGTAAATGAGACATTCCAACTACCTTCTCCCCTACGTGTACAGTAAATGAGACATTCCACCTACCTTCTCCCCTCCGTGTACAGTAAATGAGACATTCCACCTACCTTCTCCCTCCGTGTACAGTAAATGAGACATTCCACCTACCTTCTGCCCTCCGTGTACAGTATATGAGACATTCCAACTACCTTCTCCCCTACGTGTACAGTAAATGAGACATTCCACCTACCTTTTCCCCTCCATGTACAGTAAATGAGACATTCCACCTACCTTCTCCCCTACGTGTACAGTAAATGAGACATTCCACCTACCTTCTCCCCTCCATGTACAGTAAATGAGACATTCCACCTACCTTCTCCCCTCCATGTACAGTAAATGAGATGTTCCTCAGCACCAGGCCCGTGTCCTGGCGGTATCGGAGACTGTAGTTGTGAAACTCCACTCTACCTCTTGCTGGCCAGTTCCGTGGAAGCTGAGAAGAGTCCTTCCTCCATGATGCCTGCAAAAACGGAATTGTAGTACCCTTCACTTTAGTATCACTGATAATGACAGATTTCAATGGCTGTCCGCAGGTAAATTCTTGACGAAATGGCATTAAGATATATCTTAATAACATAATACTTGTCTAGGATTGCCACTGAATTTGTTTTATGTAAGCTTTTATAGATTCTGAACACCAGAAGTGACTGGACCCACCTCATTCGGATTGTGGATGTACTGTGCTATTCTCTCCATGGATATTAGATTAGTTTCCAGGTCGCTCTGCAAGGTCATTAGCCATTTCATATCCCCTTTCAACTGAAAAAAATAACATTTAATACAGGTAACATTTTCAAATGTCCGAAACACTAATGAATTTCGGTGACTTTTTTCTTCAGTTATAACAAATATTTTTATGCGACCCCATAACATGTTTGTGTGCATGGGTTGCTTTTGCGATAGATGTTGGGTTAAGGGTTTGGAGAGGGAGTGTTCTGTACTACCTGTAATGAGAATGTACTTCCCAGACCCATCAGGGCTGCTGATGCTGATCCTTTCGTGAAACTCCTCAGGAGACAGGAGGCGCCACACACTGCATTGCCAACACCAATCATCTGGATCCCAATCCATCTACACAACAAATACCATATATATTTGAGAAAACATGATCAGATTTTCCAACTGTGTAAGAACTGGATCTAAGATTAGAGGAAATTATGGCTAAGGGTAAGCGCCTATTGACGTTTTGAACTTTATTTCAAGGCAATGAAGTGAGAAAGTCCTA